ATATATATAATTTTCTTTTTCTTTTTTCTTCTATAACCCTATGTATATAATGTAAATAGAAGTTTCTAGTTGAAATATGTATTGATTGTACAAACTGACTGCTTTGACAGTTCCCTAATATGGATACACACACTTATTCCATCACTACATCTTTAGTTGGGAAAGGATATACAGTAGCTGAAACTTGGAAAAGATCTAGTTCACCCTACTTGCCAAAGTATGGCTAATGACAATTCAACAACAGCAAGAACATGCTATTTAATTAAATTTAAGCTTTATTGTATTGTTCTGTGGAATCATTTGGAAAAATGTATGTAAATATGTAGTGTACCCCATTAGCAATCTATTAGATGTAGCACTACTGTACATATTGTAGTCCTTTTATATAATATACTATATAAACTTGTTTGTACCACCCACTTACAGTAATATTAATTCTGGCGCTAACACAAAAAAATTAATAAAAAAGGGACATTTTCACAGTATATTTGTTTCCTGTGTCCTACATTTTTTTGGAGAAAGTTTACATGTAATAAAAAAGGTTCACATAGAAAAATGTATTTAAAGAAAACACAAAAACCTGAATAGATAGTGTAGTATGTTATTCAATGCAATAATCTGCAGAGCTTCACTGCAGATAATGTGTCTTCCTTAAAAAAAAAACCTGTGAACTATGTATACTGCTATTACCAGGAAAAAAAATTATACAGCGCATTATTAAAAAACAGACTATTCATAATAGATCAAAAATAATGTCAAACCTCTCTTCTTTTGAAGTATTAATATACAACTGTAATTCACAGCCACAGAAAGATTAATAAGTAATAAACATCATCTCGGGCTAATCCATATTCCAGTTTAAGTTGCAGTGACAAGCCTTCTCCTAAGGGATGCACATATTCTTAGGTTATGCGATGAGCAATGTTCCCGGAGGATGGGCATTGTAAAAACAGTCTTGATTTTGTACAGGCTAATTTAGCTTCTGTTCTTCCATCTATCATGGCAAAGTGTGACTGATCTTTTATGCAGATAGCTGGCTTATTAGGCATTGTGGCTGTACGTGCTAATGTCTCGGTTGGAATCTTTGAGGGGATTTTTTTTTTTTTTTTATCCTACCGTCAGAGCTATAAAAATGAATAATGATTACTACATAGCTTTTAAGAACAAAGAGGAGTCACAGCATTTTATCGGTGTCAGATGTCTTAGATCCTGACAGCATGATGGTTGCCGGTGAATAAGGTTGCTGATTTTGGGTTAAGTAGCGAGTGTAACAGATATACATTAAAATATAATAACAGAAGGAATACTGTCATCAACCACTTGGAAGCGTTTTATTGGCAGGACTAAAATTACAGTCTAAGGATCTTTCAGTAGCTACATTTTGTAATAAATGGTTATCGGGTAAAGCCAGTGGCAGTTAATGGGATTATACAGCAGGCAACATGAGCAATCGTCTGAATCTCAGAAGAGCTACTCAAATCCTCCTTATTTAACCTCATGCTGTACTGTGTTATAATTATGTTCTCTTCAGTGCTATTTTTTTTTTAATGCCATGAGATAAAATCGCCTTATAATATTTTATGCTAAAAACAAGAGTGGAAAAGTTTCAAGTTAAATGTTTTATTATTTTACAACTAATACGATTATTATATTTTAATTAACGTTAGCGGGTTATTAAATATAAGTTAAATTAGTGACATGCAGATTTAATGCCGTTAATTACTGCATAATAAGTATAAATATATTATTCTTTGTGGAGTGTTAATTTTTTTTTTAAAGGACTATTTCAGTGCAGTAAAAATTTGTCAGCCAAAGATTTCCAGCATATTAAAAATCCATTATTTGATACCTAATATTGCTAAATTTAGAAAAATGCAGCTCTCCACATTGCTGAAATCTTCTTTTTTTAAGGCAGGTGCTGAAACCATATCTCCTAACCAAAACCATTTTTTAATGTAAATGTTGTTGTCAAGTCATGAAACCTCTGACATATCTTCACGGTATGAAGAACAAACAATAAATCCTGCACTACTGAATGTGCAAGCCAAAGAGGAACAACAGCAAACAGCAAATTAGCCTCTTTATATAGTATACCCCCTGATTCACCATATGATATGCAAAAAGTATAGACACCTTTATTAAAGTGATAATAAATCTAATAGAAGTGCACAGTGATATATATACAGTATATAT